CAGGGCAGGGGTCTGAGGGGCTCTCCCGATGCCAGGATCACCAGGAGAGTCCTTCAGACCCTTCAGAAACCCCCGAGATCTCCAAGAATTCCCAATATTCCCAAATTCCCGGGACTCTCACACTGCCAGGATCACCAGGAGAGTCCTTCACACCCTTTACACCCCTCAGAATTCCCAGAATTCCCAAATTCCCGGGATTCCCAAATTCTCTCCTTGGCTCTCACACTGCCAGGACCACTGGGAGTCCTTCACACCCTTCAAAAACCCCCGAGAACTCCAAGAATTCCCAATATTCCCAAATTTCCGGGATTCCCGTGGTTCTCCCACTGCCACGATCACAGTGAGGCTCCCTCAGACCCTTCAAACCCCCCCCAAAATCCCCAAATTTCCGGGATTCCCGTGGCTCTCTCACATCCAGGATCACCGCGAGGCTCCCTCAGCCACCGCCTGGAATTCCCGGAATTCCCAAAATTCCCGAATTCCCAGATTCTCACACTGGCAGCCGATCTGGTGCGTGGCGTTGAGCAGGCGCACGCAGGGCGCTGTGTGGTTCAGGGGGATGTAAATCTTCCTCTCCACAGAATTCCCCAGGCAAGGCCCTGCCGGGAAAAAAAAAAAAAAAATTAAACAAAAAAACAAAAACGGGAATGGGGCACGGGAAAACAGGGAATAATCCCTTTTCCTGGTTTTTGTAACCGCAAGAGCTCCATAATGTGGGAATAGCGGGGGGGGCGGATAAAATTCCTTCTTCTGGTTTTTCGTAATCCCAGGAGTTCCAAAAGTCGGGAATGAGAGGGAGAAGGAAAAGGGAAAGAAATCGTTCCTGATCTTTAACCTCAGGGGGAACCAGAGCTTGGGAACGGAACGGGAAAGGATCCAAAAGGATCAGCCAGGACCCCAAAAGGGTCACAGGGGAACCCCAAAAATGCCAAATGGGACCCCAAAAGAGCCCCCGACCCCTCTCCCCATCCCCGCTCAGGCCTCACCCGCCGCCAGCGCGGCCACGAGCAGCGCTCGGAGCATCCTCAGGGAACCCGGGGCCACTGCCAGGGAACCCCGGGCCACTGCCAGGGAACCCCGGGCCATTCCCGGGAAATCGGCGCTGCCCGAGGCCGCTCCACTTCCGCAAAGGCAGCGGAAGTGGCGTCACGGGAGCGGTGCCGCTTCCGGGGCGGCCCCGCGGTGCCGACGTGGAGGTTCCGGGTTGAGGCCGGGCCGCCGCGGCGCCATGCTGACCAAATTCGAGACTAAATCTGCGCGGGTGAAAGGTGAAAATGCCGGGAATGAGCGGGAAAAGCGGGATTTTAGGGAATGGGGGAGCTGGGGGTGAGGTGTGGGAGCGGTTTGGGGAGGGGGAGTTGTGAGGGGAAGGTGGAAATCGGGCATGGAGGGAGAAGGGGATGGAGGATCCTGAGGGGAAATCCAGGGGGAATTTCGGGATCTGCCAGGGGAAATTTGGGATCTGATCCCCGGGAATGGGACAGGACCAGAGGGAACGGCCTCCACCTGGGCCAGGGTGGGAAATCTGGGATGATTTTTCCATGGAAAAAGGGTTGGGAAGCACCAAAAGGGGCTCAGGGAGGGCTGGATCCCCATCCCTGCAGGGAATTCCTGGGATTTGGGCTGGAGTTTGGAGTCGGAGTTTTCCCAGAGTTTTTCCTGCCTTTTCCCAAAGTTTTTCCTGCCTTTTCCCAAAGTTTTTCCTGCCTTTTCCCGTATTTTCCCTGTCTCTTTTCCCAGTTTTTTTCCCGGTGTTTTCCTCCTTTTATCCCTGTCTTTCCCCAGCATTTTCCTCATCTCTTCCCAGGGTTTCCTCTTTGTATTTCCCTCTTTCCTTTCCCAAGGTTTTCTCTGTCTTTTCCCAGGATTTTCCCCACCTTTTCCCAGCCCTTTTTTTTCAATTTTCCCCGGCATTTCCCCAGAGGTTTTCCCATCCTTTTCCCAAGGCTTTCCCAGCCCCTTTCCCATCCTTTTTCCCAACTCTTTCCCCATCTTTTTCTCCATTTTTCCCCCACTTTTTCCCCATTTTTCCCCCATTTTTCCCCCACTTTTTCCCCATTTTTTTCCCCATCTTTCTCCCGTTTTTTCCCCATCTTTTCCCTACTCTTTCCCCCCGGTTTTCCCAGCCCTTTTTCCCATTTTTTTTCCCGTGTTTTTTCCCAGGGCTGTCGTTCCACCCGAAGCGCCCCTGGATCCTGACCAGCCTCCACAATGGGGTGATCCAGCTCTGGGATTATCGCATGTGCACCCTCATCGACAAATTCGACGAGCACGATGGTAATTCCAGGGGAAAAAATGGGAATTTCGGGGGAAAACGGGGGTTTGGGGGGGAAAAAATGGGAAAT